ATACCCAAAATGGTACTGGTTCTTAAGGACGGCACAGAGAACCCCAGAATGTCCCTGTCCCCCTTAAAAGACAAGTATAGTCAAAACATTTTTTTTTTTGGCCATACTTCTCTTGTGGGTCACAGGAGTGAATTTTGTTCTTTAGAATCAGCCGACAGTGGGCTAAAGCCTGCTGTCAGCTGACATCACAGAGCCGGTCCAGGCTCTGCAAGGATCCCAATTTTAAAGTCAGAATCCACCCAGATGCCTGACGGGCAGCAGAGTCAGCCTCTCAGTGCACCTCTAAGAGCCTGAGCCAGCCGCTCTCACCCCCTTCACAGCCCAGGACTCCTGTGAGTGCTGGAGGGGCAGAAAAGAGAGCCGTTGACTGACAGTCACTGCTCTTTGTTCATTGGGTTATGCAGCAGGATAATAAGAGCCAAGAACTGCAATCAACGGTCATGTGATCACTAGGTTCTTGATCTTAGAGGCAATGGGTGACAGCTGCAGCATTGGGCCAACTGGACTTCGCCTTTAAAGGATAACTTCACCTTTGGAATGTGTTACATGTTCCATCTGTATTAAGAAGCACCTTTACGTTCTAAGATATAAATTATTTAATTGCATTAGTGTTAATTTTTTTGGATAACTACATTTACCTGTTCCCCTAGTTATAAAGCTAGTGTCCTTGGCACTCCCTGCACACTGAACTGAGTTTTTCCAGCTATCTTCTGTTAACTATAAAACCTCTCCTCCCAATTAATAGAGATGAGCAGAAGTAATAGTCCAAATCTGCCTTGTGTGACAACGCTGCTGTTCCATATAGTGAGTGAGTGTTATCACCCTAGGCAAGGATGCGTGATTGTCAAAATCACTTTATGAGAAAATTAAAAAAATCTGAGAAAAGAACATTAATGCAGCCACTACCTTCATGCTGCAATATTTTACATTTTTGTTTTTTGGTTTAGATACAGTTATGAATCATTGCCAGGTCTGAATCTACCTTCCTCCAAACCCAAGGCAGAGGAATAGGAAGCAATAGGGATCTTTTGTAACATATCACACTTACAGTATATATCCTGCTTATGCTGTCCAGAGTTCCATCAACACTGTGGGTGGTGCCAGACGTACTGTTTCTTCTATTTTATTTTAAAGGAATATACATTTTCAACAATGTACATGTAGGGATCTGCTTTCCTTTACTGTCTGAATGTAAGTGGCTGTGCTATGAGTTAGTTATGTACATCACTTCCTGTTTCTGCGGGGCTGTGTTAAAAAACCCAAGAAGGAGGAAGTGAAGAGACAAAGAGGAGCTGACACTACATGTCCAAATACAGAAGCTGCATTACTGAAATACTGTATTTTATCCAGACCAGAAGCAGAGACTGTTAGGTAATTGTTCCTGTGTTCTGGCTGTTTAACTATAGCTGCCCTTTCTTGATCTGAATCCAAAAGACAGATACGTCTCTGTCCTATTGTTATCATTTCACATGCACAGTGCCTGATTTCTAAGTCTGTGCCACTGTATGTATGCAGTAGTCATCATCCAATATTTTAGTAAATTAACCTGTTTATTGCAATAGAATTCATATCCAAACTCCTGTCATTTTAGTTACATGCGGCCCCTGTTATTTAGTCAACCCTGTTCCTTCTGGTCTGGGATTCTTTAGCTAGTTTTAGTTTAGGGCTCCATAACCAGCATAGACTAGAGCCAAGTTAGGCATCTGAACACTTCTGATAGTTAGATGTCAGATTAGAAACTACTAGGGACTAAAGTGTAGAGTAGATAGGTTGACTCTAAACCTCAGTGCCACACCACTGTTTTGGCTGGTAAGAATCTGTGCTCCAGGCTCTTTGGACAACAGTCAGTGGATCTCCTCATCACTACTGATCTTGTCTTTGGATCTCTGATATAATGACAGATGCCGCATCACAATAATCCACAGGGGCCCCTGCAATTGAGCTTTGCTCCAACATTCATCTGGAGGTATCTCTATTAACAACTATATATACCCAGCTATATGTGCTAAAATCCACCAGGACTCTTGTTAGGCCCATTGCTGATAATACCTGATTGCACATTGGATGTATATTATTCATCTTTTCCTATATAACATTTGTGTTATTTTTATACTGGTGTGCATCCATATACAGTGCTTTGAAAAACAATTTGCCCCCTTCCTGATTTTTTTTTTTGCACACTTAAATGATTCAGATCATCAAACGCATTTTAATATTACACAAAATACAGTTTTTAAATGATGATTTCATTTATTAAGGCCTGCCTGACACTATGTGAAAAAGTAATTCCCCCTAAACAATAACTGGTTGTATACAAACCTTGGCGGCAAATACTGCGTGTTTGTGATAAAAGGCAATGAGTCTCTCACATCGCTCTGGAGGAATTTTGGCCCGCTCTTCTTTGCAGAATTATTTTAATTCATCCACATTGGATGGGTTTCGAGCATGAACATCCTGTTTAAGGTCATGCCACAGCATCTCAATTGGATTAAAGTCCAGACTTTGACTAGTCCACTCCAAAACCTTAATTTAGCTTTTTTTAGCAATTCAGAGGTGGACTTGCTGGTGTGTTTCGGATTATTATCCTGCTGCATAACCCAAGTACTCTTGAGCTTGAGGTCACATACTGATGCCCGGATATTATCCTTCAGGATTTTCTGGCAGCGCACAAAATTCATGTTTTCATCAAATATGGCAAGTCATCAAGGTCCTGAAGATCATCACACTACCACCACCATGTTTGACTGTTGGTATGATATTCTTGTTATGAAATGCTGTGTAAGTTTTACGCCAGATGTAATGGGATGCACACCTTCTAAAACGTTTAAAGTATTTGTCTCATCAGTCCACAGAATATTTGCCCAAAAGTCTTGGGGATTAGCAGTAGCTTTTGGCTCTCCCATAGGTGCCATTTTTGCCCAGTCTCTTTCTTTTTGTTGAATCATGAACACTGATCTTAACTGAAGCAAGTGAGGCCTGCAGTTCTTTAGATGTTGTTCTGGGCTCTTTTATGACCTCCTGGATGAGTTGTCATTGTGCTCTTGGAGTAATTATGGTAGACCTGCTACTCCAGGGAAAGTCCACCACTGTTCCAAGTTTTCTCCATTTGTGGATAATGGCTCTCATTGTGGTTCGCTGGAGTCTCAAAGCCTTAGAAATGGATTTGTAATCCTTTCCAGACTGATAAATGCCAATTACTTTGTTTCTCATCTGTTCTTGAATTTCTTTAGATCGCAGCAAGATGTGTTGTTTTTTTTTTAGATCTTTTAGCATGCTTCCCTTTGTCAGACAGCTTCTATTTGTGTGATGTCTTGATTCAACAGGTCTGACAGTAATCAGGCCTAGTTGTGGCAAGAGAAAATTAAACTCAGCTGTCCTATATATTTTGGTTAATCACAGTTCATTTATGATTTAGCAAGGGAGGGGGGCCATTACCTCTTTACATAGGGCCAGGCAGGTTTGGCCAGCTTTTTTACCTTAATAAAGGAAATCATCATTTAAAAATAGCATTTTGTATTTAATCGTGTTATCTTTGTGTAATATTAAAATTTGTTTGAAGACATGAATCATGTCATGAGTTGTGTGAAAATCATGAGTCGTGTGAAAAATATGCAAAAAAAAAAAAATCAGGAAGAGGGCAAATATTTTTTCACAGCACTGTAATGGGGTTGATTTACTAAGACTACAGAGTGCAAAATCTGGGCAGCTGTGCATGGTAGCCAATTAGTGTCTAACTTCAGCTTGATCAATTAAGCTTTGACAAAAAAAGACTGAAAGCTGATTTCTATGCAGAGCTGCACCAGATTTTGCATTCTTCAGTTTTAGTTAATGTTATATGCTGGTTACAGTAATTCCTTTACTCTCAATTACGTTGATTAGATTACTGCATTACTGCATAGGTTACTGCATAACTCCTGTCCTGGGTGGAGTCATTGCCAACTTTATTGTCAAACCCACTTTTCCACTTAGCAAAGGCTCTGGTTCTCCTATTTACCTACAGGTTTAGCAAGGGGTTAACTGGCAACTTTAGGCCCAGGGAGCAAGTAGAACCCAAAGGCCCATGTTGCAGTGATTTGACCCCCCTCTTGCTCTTCCTCTTCCCTGCCTCCTCTCAATCCCCATCCCAAGCTAAAGCACTGCTCCAAGCACTCTCTGCTCACCGGGAGGGTCGGGCTAGACCAGGGGTGGCAAACTTTTTGACTTGAGGGCCGATGTGTATGTGTCATCCATAGTAAGTATAGTAATATTCCCCCATAGTAAGCATAGTAATTAATCCCCCATATAGTAATTCACCCCCCATATAGTAATTCATCCCCCATAGTAATTCATCCCCCATAGTAATTCATGCCCCATAGTAATTCATCCCCCATATAGTAATTCATCCCCCATAGTAATTCATCCCCCATATAGTAATTCATCCCCCATAGTAATTCATCCCCCATATAGTAATTAATCCCCCATAGTAATTCATCCCCCATAGTAATTCATCCCCCATATAGTAATTCACCCCCCTATAGTAATTCATCCCCCATAGTAATTCATCCCCCCTATAGTAATTCATTCCCCATTTTAATTCATCCCCCATATTAAGTCCCCAAGTTCGTTCCCCCTGTGTCAATTCACTTACCTTTGCTCCGCGCGTTCCTCTCGCCGTGTTCCCGCGCCGTTCCGGTGTAGCATGAAAATCTGTGTCCTATGAGGATCTGTCCCCCTCGACGTATCTGCGCATGTGCCAGTTTCAGGCATTAGCAGCCGATCGGCGATCTCCGGCACATGCGCAGATACGTCGAGGGGGACAGATCCTCATAGGAGACAGATTTTCATGCTACACCAGTCTTCAGGGCGGACTGTGAGAGGAGCCTAGCAGGAGCCTAGCTCCGCGGGCCGGATTAAAAGGTCCGCCGGGCCGTAGTTTGCCCATTGCTGGGCTAGACAGTGCCTGCTGCACCATCTCCGGGTTTCTGAACTGGCCGGCAGGGGGTGGCCAAAGGCTGTAGGTGGGAGCCAGGGCAGCTCAGTTGGAGCTGGCAGGGGAGGAGAGCCTCCGGTGGGGCATGGAGCTGGCCTCTGCTCAGTGCTGGGGGTGGCCTGTGTTCTGTCCTCATCCTGCACTTCGTAGGACACCTGTGGGGAATTTTTACTCCTCTTCACCAGGAAGCCTTTAGGCAGTGCCAGGGCAAGGTCATCCAGCACACTCAGGGTGAAGATGGAAGACTGTGCCCCCCCCCACACTGATGATCAGTGTGCCCTGATGATCAGTGTAGCCCCAGCAGTGCCACCTGTCAGTGTCCATCAGTGCCAGCTGTCAGTGCTCATCAGTGCCTCATGCCAGTGCCCATCAGTGCCACATCAATGCCACATATCAGTGCCCATCTGAGCTGCCTTACATTGTCACCCATCAATGCCAGTCAGTGCAACCAATCAATGCCAATCAGTGCCACTTATCAGTGATGCCAATCAGTGCACCTATCAGTGCCAGTCAGCGCTTCCTATCAGTGCCAGTCAGTGCTGCCTATCAGTGCGCATCAGTGCCGCCTATCAGTGCTAGTCAGTGCTGCCTAACAGTGCCAGTCAGTGCCACCTAGCATTGCCAGTCAGTGCTTCCTATCAGTGCCACCTATCAGTACCATATATCAGTGCCATGTATCAGTGCTGTCTTTCAGTGCCCATCAGTGATGCTTGTCAATGCCCATCAGTGCCACCTACCAGTGCCTCCTCATCAGTGCCCATCAGTGCCACCTATCAGTGTCCATCAGTGCAGCCTATCAGTTCCCATCACTGCAGCCTCATTAGCGCACATCAGTGAAGGAGAAAAATCACTTATTTACAAAATTATATAACAAAAACTAAGAAAAAACTTTTTTTTTCAAAATTTTCAGTGTTTTTTGGTTTGTTCAAGGAAAAAATAAAAAACCCAGAGGTCACTAATACCACCAAAATAAAGCTCTATCTGTCACAAAAAAAATTATAAAAATTTCATATGGGTACAGTGTTGCATGACTGCGCAATTGTCACTCAAAGTGTGACAGCGCTGAAAGCTGGAAATTGGCCTGGGCAGGAAGGCGGTATAATTGCTGTGTAGGCAGGAAGGGGGTATAAGTGCCCTGTAGGTTTGTGGTTAAAGTCCATCTTTGGGCAGAAAACAAACCCCCACCCACGCTTCCCTCCTTCTACCCTCTAACTGAACACTGGAATGCAAAAAGAAAAAAAAAAAACGTTCTAAATACCCTTTCTATTTAGAGGGCATGACCAGATGTAGCACCAAGCAGATATAAACCTGAGGAGCTCCTGATATCTTGACCCACTCTAATGGGTTTTACTGGGCTCAGTGACCGGTTTTCCCACATCTGACCACCGCACGACCTTCAGCTATCCATCTACCCCATCTGAGATACCATCCTGCCAAAAGACACCCGCTACTCCAGTGGGAAAGAAGCTACCTGTGCATCAGACTCCTGGGGCAGGTGTCATCTTGGCCAGGAAACTACAGACGCTCCTCACAGAACTTGAGATAGAGTCAGCCCTGGACGATGTGGCGGTAGCCTCTCCACAGAGGGATGCAGACAACACCACTGTCAGTACAAGACCTCCCTACTGGTCCGCATTGACTGTGTGGCAGAAGAGTGCAATGTCATCCGGAACAACCTTGACAAGATCAGAGGCAGTCTATCAGAAATGGAGGACCAGATCTCCGCCACCACGGAAGTTGTATTGTAGGACACAGTCTGAAATCTTGTGGCCAAGGCAGATGATGTTGAAAACAAACTCTGCTGCAACAATGTCAGAGTCCTTGGATTACCAGAGGGTGCAGAGGGTATGCAGCCGGCAGAATTCGCAGAAACCTTTTTAAGGAGCTGCTGCATTTGGAGGCCTTATCACCTACCTATGTTGTAGAAAGGGCGCACAGAGTACCTACCTGGAAAAGACCACCTGGCGCCTTATCCTATGCGAAGCCAAAAAACAGTTTTCTTTATAGTTTGAAAACACTTCTGTTCATCTGTACCCAGACTTCTCGGTAGAGGTGCAAAAGAAGCGGAAGTTCTTCATAGATATTCGGAAGAAGTGTTCCTTTTCTTACCCCCCCCCCCCCCCGACCTTTTTTTTTCGTTTACAAAGACTGTCCATGGTGAGCTGAAAGTGGAAGAAGAAACTACGCCATCTAGTGGACAATGTTGGTTTGTCGTTCTGGGACTAAAACTATGATAGCTATTTTATGTTCTGTTTGTGTTGCAGCTACATGGTAGGGAAGTTCAGTTGCTGGGGAATTTTTTAGCGCTCAATTTCTTTGTTTCTGCTCAGGCAGTTTCTGAGGTTCAGGGGCTTCGGAGATTTCAACTAGAGGAATGGCAACTTTCTTCTTTCTCCTTCCATTGTTTTGAAGGGTCTAATGGACTACCCCCAACATCTCCTGAAATTAGTTTTAAAATCATTGATCATGGCTGCTGATTTTGTGGAACATTAGGGGTCTCAATGATAAATTCAAATGCTCCCTAATGTTAAAATACTTGCAGATCCATAAACCACAAATCCTATTTCTGCAAGAAACCCACTTAGTGGGCATTGAAGTTCTGGCTCTTCACAGAACCTGTGTTAAGCAAGATTTCCATTCTACCTACTCAGTCTGTGCTAGAGGATTTTCCATTCTCCTGCACAAATCTTTACTGTACATATTTATCAAAGTCATAACTGATCCTGGTGGCCGATATGTTGTTATATTGTTAGAGATAGCTGTATGGACATTTGCAAATGTGTATCTGCCTCTATCCTTTGACCCTGCCGTGCTTTATATTATTCAGGAAATAGTGGCGCCTTACTCACCGGGGAAGTTAGTTATAGGAGAGGACTTCAACAACAAACTTAATGATAGCTAGGAACACTGCTCAAGATTTGTTGGGTTGGGCAGATGCCTTCCAACTCACTGATGTTTGGCATTGGAATCATCCTAGTGATAGATACTATTCTCACATCTCTACCTCTCACTGCTCTGGGGCACATACTGTATAGACCTTATGTTTGGCTCAGGGGCGGACTGACAACTCATGGGGCCCCCGGGCAATAGGAGCTCATGGGGCCCCTGTGTCCTTGCCAAAACTCAAAAAAGCCTATGAAAAAGGTACCAGGGGCATCTCATGGGGCCCCCTACTGACCCCAGGCCCTCGGGCAGTGCCCGAGTTTCCAAATGGTCAGTCCGCCCCTGGTTTGGCTCCTCTTTTGCATTGACCCATGTGGACACAGTGGACTATCTGCCGGCAGTACTGTCCAACCACTCTCCCCTCAAGCTTGTTCTGAAGGTTGGGTCTCAGTATGACCCCGGTTGTTGGAGACTGGCCCCCGGGTGGATACAGAACACTGTGGTAAAAAATTAGTGGACAAAAATTTGGCTGATTACTGGTCTTTAAACGAGGAGTCTGCTTCCCTGAATGTAGTCTGGGAGCCCTACAAGGGGAATTTATCTCTGGCATCAAAGCAGTGCACACAGAGTTTGCCTCTAAAACTGCACAAATGGAAGAAAATGAAAAAAAGGCAGCAGCTACTTTTGCAGCTGATGCAACCCCGGATCACTATGCCAACCTAGCTCAAATTAAGCAAGATCTGAAATTACACCTTACTACTCTTACTCAATCTGACGCCAGGGCCTTGGAGGGGAAGCTTTTTGAGTCAGGGGACAAAAACGGAAAACTCCTTGCTTATCTTGTTTCTGATCCTTGCTACTAGACTGTAGTCTGCAACCAGGGTGTTGCTTACCTCAGCTCTGGATATTCTGGCTGAATTTGAAAGATATTATGGTACGTTTTATGCCCAAACAACACCACCCTCACCTCTGATGTTATCTGCATAAAATATAAATTCACAAGACAGCTGTCATTGAAGAGGTACTTTGCCAGTAATCAGATCATAAAAAAACACCACCTCCAACAACTATATTCACTCTAATCTTCGAAATGCCTCCACTTACAATCCCTCTCCGCAAATACACTCTTATGTCAACTTATTTAAAGAAAATGTTTTGAAGGAATTGGCTAATATGTTGATTAAACGGCCATTTGATGGATCTGGAACGAATAAGGCAATCAAATCTCTCCTTGAAAGGAAAGATCTCGATATTAGACCTGCGGATAAAGGAGGAGGGGTGGTAATTTTAAATAAATGTGATTACATTACAGAAGTTAACAACATTCTGAGTGACAGAACCACTTACTCCCCTCTACCCAAAGACCCACTCCCGGACTTTAAAACGTTCTCTTAAAAACATCATTAATATGGGTTATGAAAATAAGATATTAAACGAAAAAGAAAAAGCATTTTTATGCCTAGTTGCACCAAGACTCCCGATTTTATACATTTACCTAAGATCCACAAAGATCTGATTAAACCCCCAGGAAGGCCCATCGTCAGTGGCATAGGATCTTTATGTTCCAAGATCGGCAAATATATAAATCACTTTCTACAGCCACTAGTATTACAAACACCCTCATATCAACGCGACACTAAACAAGTGCTAAATGTGGTAAAAGATGTTACAATATTGCCTGCTACATACCTTGTTACTGCGGATGTAGCTTCTTTATATACCAATATTAACCATATGGATGGCATGGAGGCTGCTGACTTTTATCTTACGCACAACAGCACTTTACCTACAGCACAGAAAGACTTTATTTTAAATCTGTTAGAATTCTCCATGAACAAAAATTACTTTTGGTTTAATAAGGAATACTATTTGCAAATCAAGGGAGTGGCTATGGGGGCTAAATTTACCCCCAGCCTTGCAACCTTTTCATGGCTCGATGGGAAGAGGACCTCATATATGCAAGGAATGGCCGGAACTTTTATTATATAAAAGATATATAGATAACATTTTCCTCCTGTGGAACGGAGAGAACAATCACTGATTAATTTCTTTTGCACTTTAAACAACAACAATTTTAACATTAACCTCACCTACACCTATAGTAGACAAGAAATCAACTTCCTTGACTTGACCCTTGTGAATCTAAATTGGAAAATCATCACTAAATCTTATTTTAAAAATACTGACTGTAACAGTTATATTCCTTGTTGATAGCTGCCACCATCCATCTTGGTTGGCAAACATACCAAAGGGTCAATTCATGAGGATCAGGAGGAACTGCACTGACTTGGAAACTTATCACTCACAGGCCATGATCCTCAAGAACAGATTTCTAGAGAAAGGTTACAGTGAAACACCCTGAATGACAACCTTAATGCTGTGGCAAATTTAAACAGAGATGAAATGCTCATAAGTGGGGACAGAACAGTACAAACTCGAGACTGTCCCTTCATCACCACTTACTCTATGCAACACAGGGAAATTAGCGGAATTATTAAAAAGAATTGGGGCATTTTAAAAACAGACCCCATCCTAATTGAATATTCTACCTGACAAACCCGAAATCATTTTTCATAAAGCTACAGATATAAGACACCATATAGCACCTAATGTCGTGGACCCACCAAAGAACATTTTATTATTTTCAGACATAAAAGGCTTCCATCTGTGCAACAGATGTGTCACCTGCAAACGCAATAATATTAGGAAGCAG